ATGTATATAATTGTATACATCGGGTTTTTCAGGGAAAAAAATGTCACACTGCTCATTTGGAGGGCTCAAAAACTCATGTATCACATATGATACGTTTGGCGTTATTTCAGATTTGAGTCAACAGACATTTTGTGACATCTGTGTCAACACTGAATATCACACAAGTGCAAACCAGTTATCACCAGGATGTACACAACAAGAAAAGCAGAAAGAGGCACAATGCTTTATCCTCTACAATAGTGAGGGCAATCTGGTTTGATATGCATGAAAATTCACACAAACTAAAACTAGTTCCTTTTATTCCTATATCACAAAATGTTACAGCTTTGACAGTTTGTTTTCTGACATGTTTTCCTGATGCAGACGGCCTATCGAGTCCTGCAGCAGCATCCTCAAGTCCTCGGCAGCAGGATCGCCATGTTGGGCCTATCACTTAGCACCAGTTTCACCCTCAAAATGGCTGTGTACTCCCAAGCTATAAAGGTAAGACAACTATGGCTGAAAGTTACTTTCATCATCTTGACGCAACTCAGTGTAGCTGCATGACTTTAATGAAGGTCTGTTGAAGCTAACAGAGCTTCAGGTAAGTACGTGGTCTAAGATCTAAACTGATGATCAGGTAATTGATAGTGTTTCTCCATAAAAACGTTTTTTAATACATTGCTACTTCCTCATGTTGTGCAGTTTTTTTGTTCTGCGTCACTTATTAAAATAATTTCCCCCTGGGATTATTAAAGTATTTCTGATTCTGATTCTGATTCTGATCTCACTTGTATTAACAGGAATTCTGATTGTGTGTGTTTGTGTGTGTGTGTGTGTGTGGTCTCTCAGCTCAGGTGTGCGGTGTGTATTAATGGGACTCATGTGCAACCCATTGACGGATCTGTGCAAGAATTAGTCAGTTTCTGCTGCGAGTAAGTTGATCTGCTGCTAGTTATGACTTTTCATATTATTTTCTTCTACTGCATGTATATAGTATATACTGTATGTGTATTAATATACAGAAACAGTGGTAAAATTCGTTTCAATGAGGAGAACCAGGTGATTTTTAGAGATCTGCTGCTGCCCATCCCCACCAACCCTGCCCTCAAAGTGAATGTGAGTACCGGCCAGAATTTCTTTCTCTCTTCGTTATACAGTTTTTCAGTTTTGTTATTTTTAAGTTGTGTGTTTTTTTTAAGTCTCAAATATTTATTTGATAGTATTTTCAGCACAATTAACCTGGACCCGTATCCTAATGCAGCCCTACAAAGGCTGCAATTTTTGAGACTGAGTCCGAAACCAATGTGTTTTTTACACTTTTTGTGAAGCGCACTCTCTCAAAAAACTGAAATCATAATTTTCCGGTTTGCCATTATTATCCCTTGATTTTGGCAAAACAGAATTGGTTTTCTTGTTACAACTCATCTAGTTATCTTGAGAAATCTGCCTATTGTTTTGCGATCAATTAACTTGTGATCTTGAGATAACAGCATTAAAGAAATAATTGCAACTATGGCCATTCTTGGCTTCTGTAAATGTGAGTACTTTTAGATTCCTTTATTTTCAAGTTTACAAAAAATTTTAAACATTTCCAAAGGACACAGGTAATTCCAACTCATTCCACAGGTAATGCTTAAAAATCTGAATGTGCAGCCTGTGGAAAAAGCTGAAATGCTGCTGCTGTTTGTCTCTGAGCAGGTGGGGCAACTCCAGTGTCCTCTGTTGCTGGTTGTAGGTGAGGACGATCAGAACTGGCCCACCTACGAGTCTGCAATGGACGTGAGTTTACTGACATAACAACATCTTGTGTGACTAACAAGCTTGGTCTTAAAATCACAAGAATAAACTTTACTGATCACTGAGAGGAAACTGAATAGTAACTGGGATATATGGCATTCCAAAATGGCCAATATTAAATACAAAAAAATGACAATAAATATAAGTTATAGAGCACTATATGTAATTGAACCTGTTTTCCAGATGAAGGAAATGATGGAGCAGGCAGGGAATAGCCACTTGCTGACTGTCCTGTCATATCCGAACGCCGGTCATTTGATTGAACCTCCGTACATGCCGCTCTCCCGAGCAAGCACCTTCATATCAGTTGGCTCACATAAGAGTGGTACGTTCACCTTCAGACTGGAAAGCTGTAGACAGTGACAGGAACTCTCTAAATGATTTAAGGTTAAGATGTAAAAACTGCACTTCCGGCTTAAGTTTTGAGGCCTGTTTCGGTTGTCTTTGCAGTGATGGCTCTGTGGGGTGGAGAGACTGTGGCACATTCTCGTGCACAGGAAGACGCCTGGAGGAAGACACTGGTGTTTCTGCGGGAGAATCTGTACGGTGGCATGAACCCTGTCGCAACTTTATTTTGCAATCTGTAATCAAGGCATTAACTAACGATTAAATGAAAAAAGTCCTATTCATTTTCCCCATAGACAATGTTACATGAGCACTGTATAGATTGGAAGGGCGTGATATTTTCCTGGTTGAATCATCAGTAGAAAAGACCAACCTGCATCCACATGTACATTAATCTGCCCAACTGAAATGGGTATGAAAAAGCTTTTCAATAAAGTTTATAAAGTTTTCAGAAGTGATTTAAAAAGAGATACTGATTTTG